AACTAAAAAAGTTTGTTAACTTACAGAATATGTAAAGGCAAATCTTTTGAAAGGAAATTTTCAGCAGATTTCTTACAATTTTTAAGGTTATTAAAATCTAAATATGAATATTCTACTTGATTATTTCCAGTTTCATTTTAAATTTTTTCTACGGCACCTTCGCCACGTTCTTTATTGCGACTTGCAAATGAATATGTGTGTATTTTTACGAGTTACTTCTCTTGCGTGATGTGTCCGTGCTTCCTGTGACGATGGCAACTTTCCGGTCAAATCAGGAATATTTTCAATAATAAAATGTTTTTTATTAAACATGATTGAAAAGATTTATTTCTATTTTTAAAAAAAAACTAATTTTAAGTTTTTTATAAGTTTTAATAATTAATCCTACTTATTTAAATTAGGTAAAAAAAAAGCGCGAATGCCTAATTTATTTTCCGACGAGGTATAATAATTTTGGATACCTAACTGAAATGTCGATATTTGGGGCATTTTTTTTTTTTTATTGAAAAACATTCCGGTAATTCTATATCCGCATATCCGAATATCCGGAAAAATTATGGCTCGACATACGCCTATTGTTTGCAAATGACATCACGGCAGTTCTAGATTCAACCCCTGAAAAATAAAAAAAATGTATTCTACCCCTTGATCTTTTGGGTGCACTACTGCGCCACCAGAATGCGAAAAAAAAATTTTCAAGAAAATCTTTTTTATAAAATAATATATTTCAAATAACAATTTACATAATATATTTCAATTACCAAAATAACAGAAAAAATTATCAAAGAACTTTTTTCATTTGCTATTAAACTCATGATAGAGAAGATATGACCCTCGTGAAATTTAAGGAATTAATCATCGCTTTTGCCAATTAGCAGGACCAATTATGTTTCGTAAATTCGTAAAAGATTGGAGTTGATAAATTGTTTCAAGAATTCTTATAGGATTGTTTTGTAAAAACTTATGATGATTTTTAATTAAATAATCTTTAATGTCGGGAATTAACGATTGAAGATTAATTTCACCTACCACGTTTAAGAGCTTTAATAATTCAGTTCCTTCTAATTTCGTCATTCAATCCTCCGCAATATATAAACTGAAATTTAAAGAAATATTAATAACATTGTTTATATTATTGACGTGTTTTCTATCGAATTTAATGTTAATAAAGTTAACAAATATGATATGATAAATATGGATCATCGGACAATCTGTCGGATGCTGTTAAATTCGTAGTAAATCACGTGATAAAAACTGATTCAAGTCAGCCGCAAAAATTACCTTCTTGACCCTCACCCACCCACAATGACGATCATATATATTTTGTAATCGACATTGCGTTGTCGTACAGGGTCGAGAAGGTGAGGAGAAAAATAAAATTTTATTTGTATTGTCATAGATAAAATAGCATGGGAAAAAATTTTCAATGCTTACGAAATTGTCATGAGGGCGCTTTTGGATTTTTCGAGTTGTCTTTTTTCTTTCAAAAGGTATTCTGCATGAATTATCTTTCTAGTTGTAAATTGTTTATTTCGGCACACTCTTACAAATATCTTGTCTGTAACTTTGTTCTTTTTTTTTAATAAATCAAAAATAAATAAAGATTACATAATGTAGGGACCTTCATTTTCTCAAATGAATTAAAAACTATTGTTAAATTATCACTGAGTCTTTTTTTTAATCTTTCCATACCTGGTAATAAAATCCAGCAACCTTAATTCTTGAAGAAGTTAGTAATATTTTAGGTCGTCTCTTTGTCGATGTGATTTGGTTAGGAATAAGGGAAAAAAGGGTTTCCAAGCTTGTGAGAAGAAGACTTGTTCCCCATTTACGGGTGGCAATTATGCGAGGTCTCCAATCACCAAAGTTGGGATGCCACCAAAGATTTTGTGATTTTTATGTAACATGCTAAATGTATTACTATTATTATAGCTTTAATTTTTATAAGTTGGATTCTTGAAGTTTTATCATTGAGTGATAGGGTTTGGTAATATTCGCCTATTTGTCTTATTCTTAGGGTTGAGTGTATAGTTTTTCCACCGACGTTTTGAGCTACCACTCCAGTGGGTGCTATTAATAGGTATTCTATTTATTTGTTTTTTAACATGTTTATTATTTTTAGAGTCATGAACATTTTTCAATTCCAGCGGAGCCTGTCATAAAGAAGTAAGGGTGTTATTTTTATTTCCGAATTCCCAAGTATTAGTGAGTGTATTGTATATATTGTATTGGTCATTAACAAGGGTTAGGGTAGAAACTGTTTGAGTAATTGGTTTTTCTAGCGAGATTAGTTGTTCGTATATGATATTCCACAGTTTGTTCTTTTTAATATCTAATAGGACTGATTCAATTACTCTTTTGTATAATACTGTAAGTTGTATTTTGTTAGTTATCGAGCTTTGTTTTAATCTCATTATAGCTTGTTCGTATTTATTAAATATAGCAATTTGAATCTTTTTCTAAAGCTTTTGCATACTGCGAGTAAATAATTTTCGCTGTATGCTGGTTGTTTTATGATGATATGTTGATAGAAATATGTTTCACCATCATCAATTTGATAATTTATAAATCTTAGAAGGAGAGATTTTTTCTTTTGTTTACATATCTTTTTTTAATGTAATTCCTAAAATAGTTTAGATATAAGAGATCTTTAAATATTGGGTCATTTGGTCTTTCAAAGTATTTATCTATTGCATCATCGAAATAGGAGTTTTCATCATCATTCTCATTTTCATCATTTTCATTTTCTATATATTGTTCTAGGATTTATTTGTTAATTAGTTTTATTGATCTTATTCTTAATTCGAAAGGAGCTGATGGCAGGTATCGAACAGCAGCCAAAGATCTTGTTATGGGATATTGTAATAGTAATATGGGTTGTAATCTAAGAAAATCAAGTTCTGTGAAATTTTTGATTAAAATTAATATCTTATTACATTTTAATCTAAATGTAATAAAAATTAAAATGCAATTAAAACCTCAATTTTGATAAAAAATTCTCAGAACTTGATTTTCTTAGATCATAACCCATAT